GCAGCAGCCACTTCCTCTTTGGGGCTGTGCTATTGTTGTGGTTGGGGCGAGGGTGTTGGTGGTGGCGGTGGAGCAGTTGATACTGCTGGAGATGTTGACTTTTTCAGTCCTGTTTGTTACCTTTCTAATCCTAGCAGTCACTTTGACGAGCTGTTTGCGTTCTGAACCTAGCACTTCGCTGTAGCACTCCTTCCATACTTAGGACCCATATAATGATATAATTGTTTCTAAATCTGCTCTGTTGCTGGTTTTCTTCTTCTTTTTCATTTTTCTTTTTTTTTTTTTTTGGGGGGGGGGGGGGGGTTGACATGCCATGGAAAGGGAACTATTTTTTCCCAGAAAAGAAGTTCTCTTTTCCGAAGAAGAACACTTTTTTTAACGTGGATAGTTATTGGAGACAACAAAGAAAAAAAGCGTTATGTAAACCGAAATATTGTGTTATGTAGCATAACAGGTGGTTGTAGCTAATAGCACCATGCAATAGTGCAAATGCAATGAGCACTGTTTCAAAATAGCTTGTGGTATGTTATGTGTCTTTGACGCGTAAAATAGCGTGCATCACAACTTATTTTTAGTCGCATGTTGATTTCGGTTTACATATAAATGACAAGATGCTCCATTTGACTTGTCCTAAAATTTGCAGGATATCCTAGAAGTATCAACAATATGTCTCTAGTACGTGAATATATGAACAGTGACTTCACAATTTCATTTTAATCTTATATGCTGTGCAGTTATATGATTTGTGTAGTTTCTTAAAAAAGAATACAATTACTCATGTTACTAATTAACATGCACTGGTATAATTTTATTTTATGTGTATAATTTGATTTACGATGTACTTTGTATCCATGACATTTCTATATCCTTATTTTTTTGGATTTGCTTATGTCAGTAGCCACATTTTGTCATATACCTACTTGTTGATTCATATTTATGTATTTATATTTGTACATTTATTATACACACACATAGACACACACAAACACGCGCACACACAACTTTCTGCCATACCCATATCTTATTTTTCAAATTTTATCACATCAAGTCTGTGTCATATGTTACTCGTAACCCATGTATGTGATCAAGGTTACAGAAAACGCTAGGTGGCTTAGGCGTTGGACCCAATGCCTTGCACCTAGGCGCCTAGGGAGCCTAGGTGGGTTTATATTTTTTTAGGTACAATAATTGATAGTAAATGCTAATGTTATAGAAAGCTTAGCCGCCGGACTAGCGCCTCGGCGGATTTCTTTCTTCGTTTAGATGGTGGTGGAGGAGGTTTTGTTGAAGATTGGAGGAGGTGGAGGAGGTGTTCATAGTTGGAGGATGGAGTTTGGAGACGTGAAGACTGCAATGGAGGAAATCACGATCAATGCCTAAAGGGTGTAGTCCACATAGGCAGAACACGCTCCTCTAGGCGCCTCCAAAATCTAGGTGGGCAGCCTAGGTATCACCTAGGCTCTAGGAGAGCGGCTTAGGTATCGCTTAGGTCTAGGCGTACCCGCCTAGAGACTTTTTAAAACATTGGTACGCCGGCTTTACAGATTGACAATGCATAGAGCTTAGCAGATCTTAGGAGCTTTGCATACTCTCAATTGTGTTCCTTAACGAACCCCATTGTGATGGAAAAAGTTCCATGACGAGGATTTCCTTTCATGGTAACCTGTCATAGGATGTTGACAGGTTACAAATTGCTTGAGGATAAGTATAGGATAGAAACAAAGGTAGCTTCTATGTTACCTGGGTGCTTCTATCTTGAAGCCATAGTCGTATCTGACATGTACGCGTACCCATACCCAAACTCCTTGGACACTCCTTGCATATATGCATACATTTATTTGGGCATGTACTAAATTAAATAATACTTGTTTTTAATTAGAACACTTGTCAAATATTTCCTGAACATAAATCCTACACTTCGCATCCACTTCATGAAACTTGTTGGGTTCCAAATTATGATTTTAATTGTTGTTTGGGTGTGTAGTTCAAAAAAAGAGCGTTTTACAATTTATAGTTCACATAATAAAAGAAACATAAAAATATTATAGGAATTTTAATTCTCATAACACGTGAATAAAAAATATTGATCTCATGTAAACTATTAATTTGAATATATAATATAAGTGTATATAAATATTTATATAGCCGTGTCCGCATATCCTACCTTTTACAAATTTGTTGTGTTTCGTACACGTACCTGTACCCATACCCGTACCCATGCAACATAGGGTAGTGGTGAGGAAGTTGACAACTTTGTGATCCAGTGGGTCACACCCTTGTGTCAGAATCGTTGGTCTCTGCTGGACAATCATGAACTGGAAAAACAGATGTAGAGAACTGTAATCAATTTGAGGAGTTTTTGATAATTATGATCTGGGGTCACCATGGTTGTAGTATGCTCTTTCTTTTTCCCCGCTGCAGCAAATTTCTCATTCAGCTGCATGAACTGGATGTCAGCTGCATGAACTGGATGTAAATCAAATTTGATTTCATTTCGTATTAGTTGGACTTATTTTCATTTGGATTTTGAACATTAAAAAAAAATTATATCCATTAGTATCAGTTGGACTTATTTTCAGCTGAGCTTACCATTTGCTAAGAACGTGTATGTTACAATATCTAGGATGTTTCTATGCAGCACGTCGTAGAACTGATTTCTTTATTTCAGATCTAATGATTGTGACTTTGATGTTCTAGGACTATATTGAATAGATCTTTGGATGGTGATATAAGATAGAGGAAAAAATGAGCTAGAGGGTTGAGTGTGAACTGGGGCCTTGTTTATGGAGAAAACATGATCAAACAGCAGCTGATGGAGGGTGTGACACCATGCTTGGCCAGAAAATAAAAAAAAAACAGATTTTGATTCACACCAGACTTTCAGGAGAAAGAGATGTTTGAGGTTGATATTGGCTTTTGCTTGGTTCATCCGCGGGTTTCCTCATCTGATTTTTGTGAAACTAGGTTGTTTGGCTTAAGGTAAACATATTAAGGTTTGGGGTGGTTTCCTGTAAAAGATCAATAGATGACCAAAAGGAACAAAAGATAGGACAAACAAAATATCAGATGTTGTCTTTGTATGAATTTCACGCGAAGCGTCAAGTGAGCCACTGGCAAATGGGAAGAGGAAATCACTATTTTGTAGACACAATTCATTTCCGCTGAATAATCTACCCTATCCATAGCCACCAGCCCTTAGGAACATATAAGGCACGGATGTAAACACTTTACGGAAGTATCCCTGAGTACAGAATGAATTCTAACAACCCCAAGAGGGCTAAAGTATTAAAAAGAAAACAATGAAAATGTTAAAAATTTTGTAGTCTTGAACTCAAAGACTAACAATCTAAACCCTGAAACTTAACAAGAAAATAGTCATAATGTCTTCATTTTTGCAGAATTTTCTCGATGACGGTATCATGATCTTATTACTTAATCATGTAAGACTTGCTCTTCATCTGAGCTCTTGCTTTGATCTTTTAGTAGTATCCAATTTATAACATGAACTGTTAATTTCAGTTTGATGACAAGGCTTCAATTTCAATATCTTGCTGTTGGGTTGCAGGCAAAATCAATATGTGGTGGCTGGCACTAAGATATCTTTTGTCCTTGGCAGATCCCGGGAAATACAGGATGCATTGCCAGAACATGTGCAGCATCTGCAGTTGGTTTGCATCTTGTCGAGGTAATTCCAATATTTGTGGCCTTAGTAAGAGTCGCAAATGTTTATTTCGTGGTGGTACTTTAGGTTTTTTCATTTTTCTGGTAACATCTGGATAAATAAAAGTGGATGCTTCCATTTGCCTGTCAAACTTGAAAATAATGTTTGAGACCTAGGTGGCATGCCATAAGATTAGGAAGCATAGAGTTAGAAATGCTTCTGTGTGCCTTGTCATACATTTGAGCTTTCCAGGGACTTAGATGGCATGACATGAGATCAGGAAGGATAGAGTTAGAAATGTGTGTATGAGAGGAAATTTGCTGGGAGCATGTAGACTTGGGCCATATATGCTGCGATTTCACTGAGCTTACAATGGTTGCATTTCGCACGTAATTTATTGAAGACATGATTGGGTCATATTGGGTTAATTGCGAATAGTATCACCCTTCTGAGCTTACTACCCCTTTAGTTTTACTGTTGCAAATAAACCTGAGAATTTTTTTAATTGACCTTTTACCCTCATGTGATTGTCAATGGAACAATTTCCTCTTTCTATGAGGGTAAAATAATAATAATAAAGCATTCAATCAGGTGTTTATCTGCAACAATATAACTAGAGGGGTAGTGTAAGTTCAAAACAGTGATACTACAGGGGATCTGTCTGCGATTATCCCTTAAAACTTATGAGGATGGCCTAGTTGTGATTACATGGGGAAGTATCTCTGTGAATTTTCTTATGTCGTATTATTATCTGATTTGCTATAACTGTATTTAATTTCTTTTCCAGCCATTAGGATACAAGATAGACGACACAAAGCTGAAGCGTGCTGGATTGGATTATTGGCCGTATCCTATAATTGAAAGGGCACGGACACAATGTTTCCCAAGTTTTTCCCTCTATTACTTTCTAACATTGTCCCTCTTTCTCACTTCCTACAAATGTCAAATGTCAGTAGCTTCAAACTGCCATTGTTAACCTCTGCTCAAATTACTAATCAACCAAAAAAATCATGTTTTCCCCATGCACTATGCCGCCTCCTTTTACTCACTATAATTCCCAGTCACTTAAAACTGTTTAAGCTCTCATGTTGTTGATTGAGCTATGCCTTTTTTCCCCCTATACATCAACTTAACATAACGACGGCAAGAGAAGAAGCAACAAAAACAAGGTCATTACCACAATTTTCAAGGATGGAGACATTAGTATGTTTTCTCCATTCGGCTTTGTTAAGGGGTGTCTTCCTCTGGTAATTAGCGAGTCATTAGGTTTTACTTCTTTAACGAAACTATAACAGATATGTGGTGGTGAAGGTTCACGCATCGTGGGCTGATTTCCGAGATTATTTTAGGCAACAGGTATATTACCATACCACTCCCCTTCCCCTCTTTTTGCTATTTTGTTTAGAATTAGTCTTGCCGTGATGTTTATTAAATAGTCGCCGTATTTCAGGATGGAGAGAAACGATTGTTGGCATTTACGAAGAAGGGCACAAGCATCCATTCGGTAAGTTTTTTCATTGTTGTTCATGAAAATGCTGCGATTAGCTTCATAGAACCCTATACCATATCCAGAATTGGCACATTTCTTCTGTAAAATTTTAACTTGTAAAGTGATCCAAATAGCCTTTTATAAGTCTATTTTCTTATCTGATAAAGTTATGTCATTTTTAATGAATTTTATCCACGTACTTCAGATGCTTCTACTAGCAAAACTAGTTCATCACCATAGTTGGATTATGACGCATTCTATTCACAAGTCTTCTTTATTCAAATAGATTTATCGTGATCTCACTCTCTGACTCTTGTTAAGTATTTCAAGTAGTATTCATAATTATTATCTATAGCCCGCCATTATGGCTTTTGCTTTTTCTCATCTTATTTCGGTTATCATATTTGGCATATTTGTAGTTATACATGGGGATCATGCAGCTTTCATAACTCAGATCCTTCTTGGATACTAGCGTTAGCGACATAGGAGCTAGTTCTGCCTGCCAAACTTGATAGTTGACAGTGTTATCATGTTTGGCAAAACTAGCTCGTAATTTTATTTCATTTTGTTTTTTTTTTTAATTTTACTAATTTTTTTTGCATGTATGTGGAAAATTGTGTGTTAAGTAAGGGGAGATTTGATGAATTCCAAAAATGAAAAACTTATTCGTGAACTCTCAGTTTCAGCTGATTCCTTCGTACTTGTACTAATCAATCCTCTTGTTACACAGGATTTCTCGTACAAGCGAGGGGACTGGCTAGTATTTGGGTCAGAGACAAGCGGACTACCCCCAGAAGCCTTGCTTGACTGCAGCAGAGAAGGAATGGGTGGTGGAACCATCAAAATTCCAATGGTCGACACTTACGTTCGCTGCCTCAATCTTTCCGTCAGTGTTGGTATTGCTTTATATGAAGCATCAAGACAGCTCAACTACGAACATCTTCAGCTTCCAACCGTGACGGGTGCCGAGAGCCAAAGGCTCTTTATCTCAGAAGATATATTTGGATGAGCAGAGGGCAGCATGGGTCTTGTTATAACGCTGGAGTCATGGTGGTCAATACCGTATCTTGCTTTGCAGCGGAGGAGATGCCTGATGAAAGCTATCCGGCGTTTCCGGAAAGCTGAAGTTCTTACAGCAATGCAGAGGTGGCGTCAGGATGTAATTTTCTGCTGCTCACTGATATTTTTTTTTTATTTGGCTATGGTAAATTTTCTTCGTTACTTTATTTATCCTATTCTCTTATTCTATGTAGCAAATTTATCTTTAGCTACATGCACTATTTTATTGTTCACGGACTGTCCCAGGTAAAGCATATCGTTTTATTCTTTCTTATTTTTTTCCTAGCCTTTTCTAACCTTACCGCATTCTAAGCTCCACTCCAAGCGAATGGTTCCCGATCTTCTTCTTTAACTTATTCAGCAATTTTTTTTATATATGTATAACGGCATAATATTCATGGCAAGCTGGAAACTAAATGAGGTGACACTGTCAATTGGCAAGCTTATACCTTCTATAGTTCTATTGTTGTGGATAGGCCGCCTGATTGAAGATCTTGACAAAATTCACTTGGGAGGATCTGCAATACGATCTTGACAAAATTCACTTGGGAGGATTTGCAATATGACTAGGGGTGACAATTTATGACCCGACCCATCAACCTGACCCGACCCGTTTATAATGGGAACGAGTCAAGTTACATGGATCGGGTCATAAACGGGTCAACCCGAACTGACCCATTTATTAAATGGGTCAATTCAGGTTGACCCGAACTGACCCATATAACACAAACACCAACCCATGAACCCAATACCAAGTGAACCGCTGGCAGCAACTCTTTGTCAATCATCTCTCATAATTCAAACCGGCTAGTTTACCCATTTATTAGACGGGTCATAAACGGGTCAACCCGACTGACCCGTGTAACAAAAACCCATTTATTTGTGTTCAGAACAGCGGCGGCGACGCAAAGGATGAAAACTGTTGGTGCGAATCGCGAGGTCGAGATGGGCACAGCTAGCGGCGGCGAGCGGCAGCGATTGGAGAGAGGTGACGACGAGTGACGATGAACAAGCGGAGGCAACCTCCTCTCTTCGATCCCGAATCCCGACTCCTTCCTCTTTGACTCCATCATTACAGCCTCCTACAGATCCCACCTCTCCCTTCACTCCCTCCTCTTCTAGACCCAAATGCACTCTCATCGTCTCCCGCCATCAAATTACACCTTCACTCTGTAATCAAAGCTTGCGCCTATGTATCGGCTTCGAGTATCGGCAGAATTGTTTATGCCCAGGTAGTCACTGTTGGGTTTGGTTCTGATTGTTACATTCAGACTGGATTGGTTGTTTTCTATGTGAAATGTGGGGAGCTTGGATATGCAAGATTGATGTTTGATAAAATGCCTGAGAGAAGCGTGGTTGCTTGGAATGCGATGATTTCTGGGTACGAGCAGAATGGATTTGCTGATAGGGTGATTTAGGTGTTTGTTGAGATGAGGAAGGAGAGGGTTAAGCCTGATTCAGCGACTTTGGTTGGGGTCTTGGCTGCTTGTTCACAGAGTGGCTCGTTGGGTTTGGGTAAGTGGGCAGATAGGTATATTTTGGACAAGGGTTTGTTTTGATGTTTGATGTGGTGCTTGGCACATCACTGGTGAATATGTATGCTAGATGTGGGCATGTGGAGAGAGCTCGCGAGATTTTTTATGGGCTTCTTCGAGAAAAGAATGTTGTGGCTTGGACCGCGATGATAGCTGTTCCTTAGCATGAGGCATTGTGGGCCGTCGTCAAGTGATGTAACATTTGTGGCAGTGTTATCGGCTTGTGCTCATGCTGGAATGGTGAAAGAAGGTCGCGAGGTTTCTGAGTGCATGAAGAGAGATTACGGTTTGGTTCCTAGAACCAAACATTTTGTTTGTACGGTTGATATGTATGGAAGAGCTGAAGTAATTGTGTGTTTTCTTGGGTATTTCTCAACCGATACAGAGTTCTTTCGGCATTTTCTTGGGCCTTTTGTATTTGAGACATAGGTAGCATAGTAATTGTGTGTTTTCCCTTATATATTTGTCTCATCTCACCTTGGTTCAAGATTGGACGCCTGAATGATTCTATGCCATGATTTGAGTATAGAAGCAAATATGAATCAGTTGGAGCCGAATTTTTGGTTCAGAATGGTATCATTTCTGTTTGCTTATATCTCTACATGCTTATTATACCCATCAGATATGCAAATCTAAATCTGTTGAAGCCGAATTTTTGGTTCTGAATGGTATCATTTCTGTTTGCTGATATCTCTACATTCTTATTATACCATCAGATAAACGAATGCGACACGAGGCTATGGAAACTCAACGGAGAAGCTCAGGAGGAAGCAAAGAAGGAATTTATTGTCATCTTAAAGTGAGCTTTGATAAACGGGTCGGGTAACCTGTTTAATAAACGGGTCGGATCGTATTGACCCATTTATTAAACGGGCCAGGTCGGGTCATACTTATACAGATCGAGTCAACTATGACCCGACCCAACCCGACCCGTTTACCACCCCTAATTTAATTATGACAAGGGCTCTATGGGCCATTAACCCAACTAGTAAAGATAAACCCGAAAAACATCATCATTGAGATATCTGAGATCTCTAAGCAAGTCGACAGCAGTCCTCTAAGAGCTCCCCATGACATCCATGCAAATATTTTGTTAAATTAATTAATTAATTAATTAAAACTGCACCAACATAAAAAATAGATTAAGAGACACCAACGTGTTTTGAATTTTTGATGCATGCTCGAGAAGAGCACGCGTTCCACCAGCAGCCAACCCTGCCTTCCATCAGGCCCGCAGAACATATTGAACACTAAATTACAGGCCTGTCGGCCTTTACGCCTACAAAAGCTTACACTTAACTAGAACCAAAATAACACATCTCAAATACAACTCTCTATAAATCTCATTTTTCTTCCAAGTTTTGAATTGATTATAGAGAGGGGGTCGTATTTGAGTTGTGAATTCCGAGACCAAGACGTAAATTTACAACAAAAAGTCATGGTACTCAGTCGCTCGACCCAACTCGGTCCAGGCTATCAGATACAGCTCTCATCCTTGGCCTCAACTCAGGATCAGATTCAGTGCATCCGAGAGCCACATGAAACACAGCAAGCACCTGTTTCTTTGCATGCACTTCATGTAGCAAAGTAGGATCTATGACCTCAGATAAAGGCCTCTCTTCCTTGAATGCCCTCCTCACAAATCCCTCAACCTCTTCCTGTCCAATCTCCACTTTGCCACCGGGCAGTCTACCAGTCAATACCTCTAACAGCACGATGCCAAATGAGTAAACATCACACTTTTGGGTGATTAAGGTTCCTGGGATTCGAGCCTCAGGGGCCAAGTATTCAATGGAGGTTGTCGCCGTGCATTGGGTGATGGCAGTAGCAGCTAGTTTTTTTGAGAGGGAGTGGGTGAACTTTTGTGTGCCAGAGAGGAGTCTGGTGAGACCGAAGCCAGAGACGTAGGGTTGGAGATCATCGTCAAGAAGGATCTTCGAGGTTTTTATGTTCCCATGGATGTATTTTCTTGGGCTGCACTCATGGAGATATGCTAAGCCCCTGGCTGCACCTTTGATTATTGCAAGCCTTGTTGCCCAGCGTAGGGGCTGAGCTGTTGGATTCAGTGCTCCACCTGCCAAAATCAGACAGTTAGGGTTCACCTTATACTTTAAAAGAATGCGGAGTGCGTTTAGTCAAAGGTAGAACTCGTAAGTTCAGCTGTGTTCAGCTCAGATTTACAGTTCAAAATTGGAAAAAGAGGAAGGAAAAATATTTAACCAAAATCATTGGAAGGGAATTTTAGAGGCAGTAAAGATTCATTATTGATAAAATACCACAAGCACTATATATTGATAAATATGAAAAACACTTACGTATGAATTAACTCACATGAGTAGTTTGTGGAAATTAATGTGGTGATTGTAGATTCACTATCAAGTATTCCTTTTAGAGGAAAACAATACAAGAAGAGAGCACCCAGGAAGTTCCAAAATATACAAGGAACCTCAACTTACTTTCATCTAACTAGCAACCTGGATAATCTCTTTTATAGTTCATGGGCCAAGCTTCTTGCTTCAGGAGCTAAATTACCACAGAGGACAGATTCATGACAAGGATCAAGGATATATGAATAATACTAGCAAAAAGAGAGATCTGAAAATGGAAAAGGAACTGGTCTTATCTATGCTCCTCAGTATACTGTATACTCAGAAGAGACCGCCATGGTTTATTTAGAACTGCCTAATTAGTAGCACTGTGTTAGCTAAGTACTTCAGTGCTCAAAACCCATGCAACAGCTCTATATTTCGCAATCACAGCCTATAAGAAAGAATGTGTTTACTCCAGAATTAAACCGTGCCTTTTGATGGATTCACAGGAGGAAAAGAAACAAAACATTTGTATGGGGCACTCTTCTTCTGGAGAGGGGCCAGCAATTGAAGGAGAAGTTGGAGGGCTCAGGACAAAGGCAATCTATCATGCTGACACTTTTTGACAGACTCTGTAGTTGTTAAAGGACGATTAGAGTTGCTTTCTTTTTTTCTACTCCTAGGTGTTGATCTTTAGATGATACTTGAAGGAAAGCAGGAAGATTGGTTAAGAATGGAGGCAAGATAAGACCTTTTCAAGAATGAGATGATGTTCTAGTAGTTAGCTCAGCTTGAGACTTGCATAAAATCTTTAGTTACTGACTTGGCGGAGCAACAACTGGCATTCAATTGAGTTGGATTAGAACCAGATCAAGCTTAACCACGGCGAACCAATATTGCTGCAGCTCAATAACTTCAAATAATAAAGACCAAGATTCAACCCATTTAAAAGATGGGTTGTATTTGAGCAGGGGCACTTCAGTTATGCTTCTGCATGGGACAAATCCAGCTAGGCTTACATTTATTAAGTGGTTGGACAATATCAGTTACGTAGCAAGCATCGACCATTCAAACCAAAGTGTTCGTATTTATGCCAAACGTCTGGTTACAAAAAAGTAATTCAGCTTTTCACATAACAACTGAAAATTTAGGAAGAACAGGAGCAATTGTTCTGATAAAAAAAATATGATGTCATATGCCTACTCTTTCAAAGATTATAATATGGTTACAACCTGTGAAGTTAATATATAACATCAACAAAAGAACAATAAATACTTGATTAGTGGTTCGAGCAACTATTGAAGAATGGATAGATAAATGAGCAATAATTCGAAACATTCACTCGTTAGTGCAATTAAATAGATGAGAAAATTTACCATGAAGAGCAGAATGCAAGGTGCCATTAGTAATGTAGTCATAAATTAGCAGCTTCTCATCAGGGGCATAGTAATAAGCTCTTAACCTCACGACATTAGGATGAATTGCGCGCCCAATAGCCATTGCCTCTGTTTCAAACGACCTCCTCTTCTTCCACTCGTCCTCTTCTCCTTCCCCCTCCTCTCCCTCACTCAACCTCCTCACTGCCACTGCTGACCCTCTACCAACCACCACTCTATAAACAATCCCACTTTTGCTCTTTCCTACAACATAAGCTGATGCTCGGAGGAGCTCTTCCAATTCCAATGCAAACCCTTCATCAACCGTTACATATATCTCGCCTAAAGCACAAAATCAGAGTGTTAGAAAACAGAAGTTCTAAAAAGGCAAAACTTTTGCCCACAATGTACTCAAAAAACAGTATGTCACGGAATAGTACTCTGAAAAATTAGCAAAAGACTAGTATTTTGAGAAAAAAAATGTTTAGAAAGATATGTGCTCATAATGAATTAGAACAATAATTACTGTCTTTTTCCGTTCTTGGCTAAAGAGGGGTTATGCTGGCTAGCAAGTAGCAAATAACATCAAAAAATCAATAGCGTTACCCTACATATAAATGTCAATCGCTCCAAGACAGTCATAATTAATTCTACACATTTAAGACACTTTTTAAATTTGAAGTTCCAATTTTTTGTTCAGAAACAAATCATAAAAAATATTTGCTATTTTCTTTCTGAAGGTTGGGGGCAAAACATTTGTTTTGAACATACCAGTCCTCCCCTCTCTCCTCTCCTCGCCAACGGTAACCTCACCGCCCTTCCCTTTCTTCTCCTCCGCACTCCCCCGCTTTTTACGAAACGGCCACTGCACACAACAATCGAAACCAACAGCGCGACACGATTTCCCAGCAAGAATCGTCGCCGTCACGCTTGCCCGCCCTCCCCTTCCCAGGCCCCACCGGGCGCACCACCGGCGACCCCCATTCGGCTCGAGTAATCAGGCCTCCAATCCATGCCTAGGCTTAGGTTTTCAGCCACCCCACAGGAGACCCTTCAACGAAACCGCCAGAGCATTAGGGTTTCCGCAAAGCAGTTGGCCCCTGGTTCACTAAGACCCCACTGCCGGGATCTCTCCGACTCAAAGTTGGTGCCCTGAACCAGGCTCACAGTCACCGGATCTTGCGTAGACCGGCGGAATATCGCCGGATAGGGTGAACGATGAGGTTCAGAACTCCGGCGAGTTTCGGAGGCGAGCGATCGCCGGAGCGTAGAGATCCGTTAGAAGAAGTTGAGGGATATCGAGGTGCGAGAGGGACGTGAGGTTACGGCAGCTGTTGGGAACTCGGCCGGTGAGATTGTGCGAGAGAGGTCTAGGGTTTGGCAGGGAGGGAGAGGAGAGAGAGCTCGGGGGAAGTAACGTAGAGGGAGTGGCCGGAGAGGGTGAGGGCGGTGACGAGACCGCGGGGGGAGCACGTGACGCCGGGCCATGAGCATGGGTTCTGGTCGGCGTCGGACCAGGAGGTGAGAATGCGGGTCGGGTCGAGCGAGATGGCGGATCTGAGTGCGAGGAGAGTGAGGCCGTCGGTGGTGAGAGAGGAGATGAGCGAGGCGGAGGAAATGAGGAGGAGGAGGATGAAGCGGAGAACGGGAATCCGCGCGATTTTAGCGCAGCGAGGAGTTTGCGCGCGGGAGTGGGAAGTGCAGTGAGACCGAAAATGGCGGAAGGAGAAAATAGAATAGAAAGGAGAGAGGGGGGGGAAAGAGAGAGAAAGAGAATTTTAAACAACAAGAAAAGATGGACGAGAAGAAACATAGAGAAGGTATTAAAGCTGAAATGACCATACTGTTCATGGGTATCTTATTTTCAGAAATGGGGCTCATGAATTACATTTTGCAACTTATTACATGCGTCCACGTGTACCTAAAAATTAAACACGGCAGATTCTTCGGATAGTTGCAATGTTTAAATATGTCTCCCACGATCTTAGTTTCGATTTCAGGCTAGGTTCAGGTTCAGGTTCAGAGTAGGTTATTAGTTCGATTCTAGGTTGGGTTATCAAAAAAAAAAAACATGCACTTCAATTTTAGATTTCAGTTACAATTACAATTGGACCAAACATCCTCTCATAATTTGAAAACTGACTTTCCATCATCTAATGCACAATATATTTCATAATTATGTCAATTTTTTAAAGAATCATAATCATATAGAGATTTCTAAGTTTTTTTTCTCCATTGCACTTTCTAAAAGTTTGTGAATATTCTAAAATAATTATCTGAATCTTGTTTAGAAAAGAAAAAAACATGTTCCATCATGTACGCTGCTGATATAATTATTTTTACACATTGATTTAATAAATGGAGGTGTTTTTATACATGCCAGTGTTTTCGCTAACATGCCTGCAACCTTGTAAATTGTGAACCGTTTGAGTAGTGGAGTATGAATTTGTTAAGAAGGGAAAGTATAAAAAAAAACCCACTGATGATATGCGGAGTAGCGAAGAGGGGGTGGGGAGGTGCAAAACTAATCCAAGTATCCCACAGGGGTGTTTTAGTAAATAAAGGTGAGAGAGAGAGGAGGAGGGGCCCGGGGGAGGAAAGATGATGTCTGTTTTTGAAATGATTCTGGGTTTGTCTTCCATCGATGCACGAGCGATCTTTTCTGAATCATCTGGGTCGCTTTTACGGCTTTCTTGTCCGCTTGCTCAAATACACCAAGCCCGCGAAATAAAACAACTGCATCCGTTTCAAAAAAAAAAAAACTAAACCCAGGATTAACTTCGAGGGAAATTACGACAACGGCCTCTGATTAGTGCACGTAGGCGGATCAGGTTATCGTTTGCTGATCCAAGAATATTCCTACCGCCGCCCGGATTCAAATTATGAGTTCTGTATCTTCAGCAGTACATTTCGTTTAAATATTACTTTTATTTCCTTGTTCGGGTAAAGGTCGGTAAAAACTAAAAAGCCACGCCCGACATAAAAAAATGAATCCTGCTGGAAAAGCAAGTGGGAACTTCTGGCTCGCGTCTAACTTGATCCGATCCGATCCGATCCAAATTGTTTTGAGATCAACGGGCTCAGAAGATCCTGTGTTTAATTTTCGCCGTGGTCCACAATTGAAGTACACGACTACGTGTTACTTTGGTTTGCAGTCAAATGCAAGTGGATGAGATGGTCAAACTCAATAATGGAGGAGCATTTGCTGATCTGTAAACTGCCACTCGCACGTGTCGATGCCACTTGTAACTGTTAGCACGCCATTATGTCCCAGCCTAGATGTTTGTTTATTTTTCAGTTTGAAAATTCCCTACTATAATTACAGCTGCAAATGTTAATTTATTTATAGAGGGACGTAGGTATGTTTGGTATCAAAACAATAAATTGTGTGCATAAGAACGTAGGTATGCTTGTTTATCCACTCATTCAGTGAGAGTGGATAAACAAGTAAGCACCATTTCTAGGCGGACACATTTAAATATGTGGATAAGAACAAACCAACTCACTACCAACAATTAAATTCATACTTATTTTCCTCTTATTTGTAACTCTTCTATACATAATATTTTTTATTTTATCAAGCAAAAATAAATCCATATAAATTCATTCAAAATAGAAGGATAGTACACATGATACAAGAAAAACAAATATTTAATATTTTAATGGTTGAATAGAATTTAGGCTTCAAACCCTACTCGTCCCTAAGGGTGTGTTTGACAACAAGTTAAAATTAGGTCACGATTGAACCTGACCCAATTTTAACTTGTTTCTTGTTTGTCAAATTTTCACGCTAGAGCTGGCCTAATTTTTTTAGCCTAAATGGTGCTACTAAACTACTTTTCTTTTGGACCAAGCCCAACCTAAATGGTGCTACTAAACCAGTTTTCTTTTGGACCAGAACTGGGTCAGGACTGGTCCTGGCCCAATTTTGTTCACTTTGCCAAATACACCCTAAAGCTCTAATTTTATCCATACTTATCTCTTGAACTATTTTTAGTTCCTAGATGGTCAGACCTCTAAACTATTGAATTTGCTCTTATTTGGCGCCTAAGCTATTTTTAGATCCTAGTTGTAGGTTGTCTAAAAATCACAACAGATGGCTGATCCCTATCAAACTTCGATCAACATCTCGACAAAGAAAGTTGCAATCCGACGACTTTCACGTCAACAAATGAAAACCGCAATCAGAGGATTTTCACGTAGATCGGGAAAATGTTACAATTCGACGGCCTCCACGATGACTGATGAGAGCCCTGATTCAATAGTCTTCACAATCAACTGTGAGAGTTACAATCTGACGACTTTCACACCCTAAAACAGCCAAGGCAAAGATCACTCAACAATGGTCTTTACAACGCTCTACAGAAGAGGTTATAAGTCACTAGCCTCTTCGAAACGTGGAATTCACCTTCGCATTTCAGTTATTGAAACGCAGGCGACCCCTGCGTTTCCAACTCTCAACAAACAAAACGCGGGCGGCCCTCGTGTTTTTCAACATCTAGCGGGTGCCCAACCCCGCGTCTCCAGTCTAAGACGCGGAGTTAGGGTCCTGAACGCTAATTTGGGCGTTTGACTCATTCAAACATGAGTCGAACAGTTTCAGAACTGTTTTTCCCACGATCTGAGGAAATCAGGCCCACTTAGGAGCAGATTAAGGGATTAGTTACACCCTTATCCTCCTATAAAATCCCAACAAACTCAATAGAGGGGGGTTCGGTCTTTTTGAAGATTGGATTGAGGCTGAAGAGATTGGATTTCTTGGAGAGTGGGCATCAGCTGATTCTTCTTGGATTTTCAACAGTAAAGAGGAGATTAAAAGCAATCATCCTTAAGAGATCAGATCGGTTGTAACAAGAATATCTGATCTTGGGGCATTCCTTCAGCAACAAACAAATTTACTTGGCTATTAACCGATTATTCAGTTTCAACAACTCTGTTCATCAGAGTTCTAACTCGTTCTGAGATACAAAACTCGTTAAGAGTTCTTGATCAAACTTGTCACGCAAGTTAGTTGTTTCAGTAAATTGAGATGTGCGGATCGTCAACGGAGAGCAAATTTAACGCGAGCATTCGAAGGAGGCACTCCATCGCCACCGTGAAGAACCCAGAATTAAACAAAGGGGAGAATTCAGATCAATTCTCCTCTCTTTTGTAATCGGGAATTCAAATTATAAGTGAGATTGAGAGAATACAAATCAAATATATTTCTTTTAATTTTTTTTTTACTATAAATTTTCCACCAAACAAAAGTTGGCGACTCCACTGGGGACTAGCTTCTCTGACGAAGAAGTGGTGGTGTAATCCGACGTCCATCTCGCTGGAACGACCGTCGAAACTCTCATCGTAGAGTTTGACCAAGCCAAGTACGAGGAAGCCGTCTCCTATGGATCGCTTAGCCCCAAGGCTAGACACAACATCCGCAAGATCTCCAAGGGGATCAGAACTGCTGCTGAAATGCCAAAGAAAGCCCTCTCCTTTGGCCAAGATGCCAAACTCGTTCAACGAGTTGAAAACTCCACATCCGCGTCAACGCAACGTGTCATGGGTCGTAAAAGGCCTTTGACGGAGATAGATCCAATCATCGCTGAGGGTGTCGCTGCCAAGGCATTGAAACAAGCCAAAAAGAACGCCGCTCGAAGACGGAGAAGATTCATACGACGGACGCATCTTCGAGAAAGCCGATCCCTTGCCCGACGTGAGGATCGCGTTTTTGAGGCTCTGCCCGAACACTGTGTTTCTACTCCAGAACGCGCACTTCGCGACAATGAGCCCAATTATGAGCCTCGGGTGATACAGATTAAACGCGATCCTCAGTGGCGCGTTGTCCATCCAAAATGCGATCCTCAAGAAAATGTTGCTAAAGATAAACGCACACCTCATGAGTGCGTTCAACCGAAACATGACCCTCAGGGGTCTATTTCACTAACCAAACGCAACCCTCAGGGGTACGTTTAACCAAAACATGACCCTCAGGGGTCTGTTTCATCCACCAGACGCACACCCCATGAATAAAACACGACCCTCAGGGGTCTGTTTCATTAATTAAACGCATGCCTAGGCCTAGTGTTTATAAATCAAAACGCGACCTTCGTGTTTCTTCTCCAGAACGTGATGTGGTCCGCCAAGTTCAAGGAAGGCGACATGGATTCAAAGTTCACGTTCAACAAGAACTAGTTCACCCACTTAAAGGTAGGGGTTCCATCTCCGTCCTCTTGCTCAGTGAGGGACTCCTCCCAAGTTTTTGATTTGCTGGAATTACTCTCTAGAGGGAGACCATCGCAGCAAGTAGCTCATTCATTTCAATGTGAACGGCTCATTTCCGCAGTTCTTTCAAAATGCCTTTGCTGTGCACCTGAACCTCGACAATATGTATTTGACAAAAATTAACAAATGTTAGCATGCCTGCCAAGCGACAACGTCATCACAAGAAGAAGATTTCTGAAGCCGAATATCCTGAAGTCACTATTAACATGATCGGCAGAGGGAATGCCTCAACGCCCAGTTCTGACGAATCAGAAATAAGCCACACCCCGACCGTCCGGGAAATCTGTGACGAGTTCAAAGGTATATATCGCCGCACTCGAACTCGGACAGGAGCTATCCGCTCGGTTAATTATTAAAAGTTAGCCAAGGGGATTACTTCAGATGATGAACATCCAGCAATCGTCGAATCTCAATCCTCAAGCTCTGTCGTGGTATGAGAGGCTCCCATTTACATGACTGGAGGCCCCGACGACTTAGCAAAGAGAGTCGACAAACATCATGCCATGCTCCAGGCACAGCAAGAGACATTTCTTCAGATGAAGGACATGTTGGCCCAGCTCCTTGCTGAAAAAGGCCAAAGACCTGAATCTTCCCGGAGGACAATCTCAAAGAGAAAGCAGAGAGCGCCTGAGAATTCAGATCGTGAGGCTCAGAAAAAGGCCAAAGACCTGAATCTTCTCGGAGAACAATCTCAAAGGGAAAGCAGAGAGCGCTCGAGAATTCAGATCGTGAGGCTCACAACCTAGAATCTTCATATGAAAACGAGAAGGAGATGGAAAGAGATCTACATTCTCAGTCATCTAAAGTGGATAAGCTAGAAGCCCGCCTCAATGCAATCGCCAACAGGAGTGAGCTTCGCCTTATCCTGCCGAATGGGATACAGCTCCCTATCCGCCAAAATTTAAGGCCCCAACTCTGCAACTCTTCGATGGCACAAGATCACTGAACCAACACATCTACTACTTCAAGTCACAGACTGCAGATGTGGTAGTAAACGATGTCATTCTGACCCGTTTGTTCATCAACACTCTTAAAGGAGTTGTCTTCGAGTGATTTATGAAACGGCCTACTGAATCTATTCAAAAATGGGTAGATCTGAAAAGGATCTTCTTAGCCAGATTTTTTGAGGATGATACGAAAGTGTCTGTCCCAACCCTTCTCACCACTAAGCAAAGGAAGGGAGAGTCCATCAAGACTTACGTGGAAAGATTCCGTAGCATGGTATTGTGATGCCCATCAGGTATGACTCAATCCACTTTGGTCGAAACTTACAAGCACAACTTACAGACCCAACTCCTTGCTCAAATTGGGATGGCGGAATGTCACTCCTGAAGACAATTGGTTTCATAAGGAGAACAAGCCGAAGAAATCGTTGCTCGGGTCAAGGCTGAAGAAACCACTTAACCAAAGCCGCAGCAACAACGCAACCAAAATAACGCTCTGCGGTCCAAGGGAAAGGAAACTTTGGCTGCTGACGCTGGCACACGGTCATTACTTGCCAAGCAAAGCAAAGCACTGAATCAGCAAAGAGTGCCCAAGCAGTACTCGTTCAAAGAGGAGCACGTGAACACTTTGTTCCAACTACTTCGTAAGAATAACAAATTGCAACTCCCAGAGATCAGGAAACCAGATGAGGCAGGAAAAGTCGACGACCCTAATTACTGCCATTATCACAGGTTCTTGGGACATCCTACTAAAAAAATGCTATGTATTCAAAGATATTCTACAAAACCTGGTGAATGCCAATGTGCTTACATTGAAGCCCGAGCAGAAGACCGTATCCACCAATTTGATAGTGGTTCAGTTCGGTGATTTTCCTTCGGTAGCAGCTACAGATGATGTTATCACTATCCATAAAGGGGAAATGCACATAAAAAATACTAACTTACACAGTCAGAAAGATAAGGGGTTGGTACCCCTCACTATCTCAAAAGAGGAGATTATGTGGGTCCATCCCGATCTGGTTGAAGACCAACAGTGGACGAACATCTCGTCCAGGAAGAAAAGAGGCAAGGCTAAACCATACAATATGATTAGCCCCTCCATGAATGAGAATGATGATCATCTTAAGCCTCTCACCGACTCAGAAGAAGAGAAGATTGTTCTTGCAGCATACCCAGGAGGCAACCCTAGTACTCGGTCAGGAAAAACTTACTTGAAGGACTATGATCAGAATGCTCAAGAAGCAGAAGAACATCACCAAGATGCTGGAGGTTCTGTTCCACAAAAATCCATTGATAAAGGGAAATAGAAGGAAATCTGATACAACAAGAACCTTCTTCAAGAAGTCGGAGAATCGAGCACTCCTTTCCGATTCAATGTCCTGGTGCAGTTGGCCAACATACCAGCTAGGATTACCCATGAGCTCCTGAGATTGTCTAAAACCACTAAGGAAGATCTGATAGAAGCTTTAACAAACACAAAAAAGCTTTATCACACAAGTCACTCCGATTCCTGAAGCTTCTGAAGGCCAGTCTTGTATACAGTGTCTACAAGCAGCAAGAAGTTTACCATGCATATTATTCACTCAGGACGATATGCAAGTAAAACACAAGCATGATAGAACTTTGTACTACACAGGGTACATTGGATCCTCAGAAATCAGTCGTGTTCAAGTTGACTCGGGCTCAGCACTCAGCATCATGCCTTATTAGGTCATGCAGGCCTTAGGGATTCCCATGCATCAATTGAACACTAACCAGACTACTATCTTTAATTTTAACACCAACAATACTCGACCCCTAGGGAAGATCAAGCTCAGGTGTCAAATCAGAGATCTCTAGTCTGAAGTGACTTGTTACATCATAGACACAGACACGTCCTACAATTTATTATTGGGACGACCATGGATTCATGCAAACCACATTGTCCCATCTACCCTACATCAGGTTATGAAGTATGCTAATGATGAGGGGGAAGTCTGAACCCTGATTGTGGAAAAGTACCCTTTCAGAGGGGTGGAAAACTTCCACACAAATTCTGTCTTCTACTCGGAATCACAGAAGAAAGAAGATGTCGACAGCGATAACGAAGCTGACGTCGAGCCAGATCCTAAAGAAGATTGTCCATGGGAGTTGAACTTCAATGTAATGGGTCAGGTCGAGAACAATAATAATGTACCGAGTGAGGGCGAGTGGTGCATTAATGAAGATCTTATTTTGACGTATTTGTCTGATGAGTCATCTAAAAATGAACAAATACAGAATGATATTAATGCAGGTACCGGCCCATGGCACACATTATGCATCAAGGCATCACTAAAATTACCGATTAAGTCATCATTCGCTTCAGATGAAGAAGTAGAAGATGCCCAGAAGGGTTTCTTTAAATTCCCGTCCAAAAGGAAAGGGCAGAAGCCGATCTACTTCGGTAAAATTAAACCTGAATTACTCAAACGAGGAAGTTCGAAAGAAGATAATGGGGTTCCTTAATTCCATTACCACGAACCCAATTCTATATATCTGATAAAGCGAATGAGATATAATTTTAATGAAAGACAGGGTTTAAACTTCGGGAAAGGAAGGCAAACGCCGATTCAAATGTCCCTCACTCCCGAAGGAAAACCTACGGATTATTATCCGAAAACTAGAAGAGGTGTAGGTTACATCACAACTCCCTCCCTTTCAGAAAATGAAACTGGTAACTGTCTGTGTCAAGATCATTCATCTGGAACATTATCATGAGAATCCGATGTCAGCGTCGGACCTTTCTTTAAAAATTTGACTGTGAACATGATTTCAACTAGTTACTCATATGAAGATGCAGGGGGTGATGAAGAGTTGATTGAATCGACCAATGACCATTGGATCAAATGCCTTAACATCTTGTGGGATATGCGTTTCGAATAACGTGAGCCTCCTACTGAAAATAAAGTAATCCAGGTCAATATGGGAGATGAGTCCGACCCTAAACCTATCTTCGTAAGTGAAAGCTTATCACCCTCTGAGAAAGAAAATCTTATATCTCTCATTCGAGAATATATAGATGTCTTTGCTTGGAATTATGAAGACATGCCTAGCCTTGACCCAAAAATAGCCATGCATTGTTGTCTCAACATTGATCCGGATGCAAAACCCGTCAAACAACAACAACGTCGGTTTCGTCCGGAGATTATGAAAGCGATTGAGTCAGAAGTCAGAAAACTTATAGACTCAGGCTTTGTCAAAGAGGAACAACATCCTGACTGGGTAGCCAACATTGTTCCAGTGCCTAAGAAAAATAGTAAGGTCCAGATATGTATTTAATTTGGTGACCTTAACGCAGCTTGTCCAAAAGACGAATTTCCACTCCCCATCACGGATGTCATGATCAACAACACATGTGGGTATGAGAGGATGTCTTTCATGGATGGATTCTTCGGGTATAATCAGATCAAGATGTATCCTAAAGATGAAAAGTATACTGCTTTTAGAACACCATTGAGGGTATATTGCTACACAATGATGCCCTTCGGATTAAAAAATACAGGCGCAACCTACCAACGCGCGATGAACACAATCTTTCACGAACACTTATGCAAGAAGATTGAATGCTATGTTGATGATATAGCAGTGAAAAATCAACATAAATGTGATCATCTCACAGGCCTGAAGATAATATTCGACATCATGTGAACACATCAGTTGAGGATGAACCCGACAAAATCATTCATTGGGGTATCAAGCGGAAAACCCCTAGGATTTATCGTTACATCCAAGGGAATTTCTCTTGATCTAGAGAAAGTTCGTGCTATCAAAGACATGTCGCCTTCGAAGAATCTCAAAGAACTCAGAGATTTGTAGGGCAGATTGGCTTACATCCGGAGATTCATATCTAATCTCTCGGGACGCTGCCAACCTTTCTCTAAGCTCATAAAGAAAGGAGTATCTTTTGTTTGGGATGAAGACTATCAGAAAGTATTTGAGGAGATTAAGAGGTACCTCACTCAACCGCCGGTTCTTGTGGCCCTAATATCAAGAAAACCATTCCTGTTATATGTGAGAGCTATGGATCATTCTCTTGGAGCTTTATTAGCCTAAAATAATGACCAAGGGCAAGAGCAGACCATCTACTACTTAAGTAGGACCATGATGGGAGCCGAACACTGGTATAATTCGGTTGAAAAAGAATAACTCGCTTTGGTATTCGCCATCCAAAAGATACGACATTACCTGGTTGGACAAACAATACATGTCATCTCTAAGGTAAATCCCTTGAGGGTTCTTATGATGAAACCATTCTCCCTAAATTGCCGGCTGGCAAAATGGGCAATCCTCCTGTCACAATATGACATGCAATTTATGCCACAAAAGGCTATCAAAGGTCAAGCTCTGGCGGATTTTCTAGCCGATCATTCGGTGCCATGAATGTTTAAACTTTATGAAGAATTGCCCGACGAAGTTGCCGAAGCTTGCGTAACTCAAGAAATTATGCAAGTATGAAAATTATTCTTTGACGGTGCATCCAGAGCAAACCCTCATGGAGCAATTACCGTGGGAGTAGGAGTCGTATTCATCTCTCTGAACGATCACGTGATCCCGAGAGGATTTTCCCTGATCGAGCCTTGCACCAATAATGTAGCTGAGTATAATGCTCTGTTATTAGAAATACAATTTGCCGAAGAGCTTAACATCCGACATCTCAAGGCTTACGGTGACTCTCAGTTGATCGTGAATCAATTCTGACGAGAATACGAAGTATGAAACGAGGATCTGATCCCGTACTACTTCACGGTGTTAAAGCAAGCTAAGAAGTTCGAAGGTTTCTTCATTAGATATATTCCACTAGCTCAGAATGCTTATGCAGATGCTTTAGCCTTGTTGTCGACCTCATTAGCATTGTTACCAGGGGCTGAAATAATGATTCCTATCACTGGACCTGAATTGTACTATTCCAAGCTTATGTTAGAAGAACGTTCAAACAAAATGATGACAGGAGATGTCTACACAACCTCAATGGAATTTGAACCCAGGGATTGGTGATTCCCGTATAACGACTATGTCTTGTATAGGATTTTACCCAATAATTCTAAGAAAGTGGCCGCTATCAAATGAAAGGCCCTCCGATTCTATTACAACATGGTTTCCCAAATCCTGTATTATAAATCACACGATGGAATTTTTCTTCGATGCCTTTCCCGAAAGGAAGCAAAAGAGGCTCTCAAGGAAGCTCATGACGGAATGTGCGGAGCTCATCAACCCGGGGCTAAGTTGGGAAATTGCCTCCGACAAATTAGTTATTATTGGTCAAAAATGTTTTTAGACGCAGTTGACTACGCTAAGCGTTGTCATGCGTGTCAAATCCATAGTGATTTCATTCATCAAGCGCTTGGGAACTTACATCCCATGTCTACGTCTTGACCGTTTGAGATGTGGGGCATGGATGTCGTAGGACCAATCTCTCCTCCGAATTCCAAAGGACATCAATTTATTTTGGCCGTGGCCGATTACTTCTCCAAATGGGCGGAGGCAGTCCCACTAAAAGAAGTCAAGACCGCTAATGTGATTAAATTCATTAAGCATCACGTCATCTATCGTTTTAGAGTCCCGAGACAAATAGTCCATGATAACGGAACACAATTTGTTAGCTATGGATTTTAGAGGTTTTGTGATAAGTTAAGAATCCAAAGTGTTGCATCTACGGCATATTATCCGCCGATAAATAGCCTCGCAGAAGCCTTTAACAAAACCATTGTGAAGCTTCTCAAAAAATTTGTTTCCAAGAGCCGACGTGATTGGAATGAAATACTTGACGAATGTTTGTGGGCCTACCGCACAACGGTAAGGACCCCTACAAGAGCCACCCCATTTTCTTTAGTATACGGCTGCGAAGCCGTGCTACCATTAGAAATCCAGATCCCTTCCCTGAGAGTCATCATCACGATCGGAATGACAGAGGAAGAGAAACATCGACTGCGCCTTCAGGAACTTGAAGCCTTAGACGTTAAGCGACTTCAAGCTCAGCAGCAGATTGAGCTATATCAAGCTCGGATTTCTAAAACCTACAACAAAAAGTTTAAGGAATGGATTTTTAAGAAAGACGATTTGGTCCTAGCCGTCATACGACCTATGGTGATGACACACAAGACCAAAGGGAAGTTCAACCCCAAATGGGAAGGGCCCTTCGTAATAGAATCGGTCTATTCGAACGGAGCTTATCGCCTTATCGATCAAAAAGGCGACAAGCTAATGATGCCAATTAACGGAAAGTTTCTCAAGAAATACTTTCCGTAGGCAATGAAGCCCCCTTTTCTCTCAATCTCCGGCCAAGTCAGGCTAGGGGTTGTTTATTCAAAATTTGCTTTAGGAGTAAATGTTTAGTTTTCCTGCTTTGTATGTCGTCAAGTTAACACTACACCTCTGACAATTGAAATTTTTTGGAATTATTCTAAGTAGTAATAAAGAGAATTTTGAATTTACGCTAAGGTAACATCACACCTGTAGCACTTGCAATACTTTTCGTTGTCCTAAATTAGAATTCAACAAGAAAGATGATGAAAGACAAAATGATATCATTTTCATTCAATATTGATAACTTGATACAAAATGACGATAATTGAAATGAAAATAATACAAAATTATTCCCTAGCTAAAAGAAATTCAAAATTTAAAAATCAGGACTCATCAGCCTAAAGGACTTGAGCTTGGACTTCAACGCTGATATGTTCTCCTCACGAGTCTTTTTGACTTCTTCGGTTATCTTGCTCCTGAGTTCCTCTTCATCAGGTGTTGCTTTGGTAATCTCTCGTCGAATCTTATTAGCAGCGATGATCTCATTGCAATAGTCTTTGAGAAGCCCATCATAGTGAGCAGCTAATCCTTTTATGACTTCCATATCCTCAGCCAGCTGGGCATTCCTCTGAGGTAGCTCGACCCCCATGCGAGCGAGTTCTGCTGCAGCATCCCGGATACCCATAGCAAGGCTGCCCATGTCTATTTGTATCTGAGTGTATTCCTCCCGTAGGCTGGCAATCCGAGATTCTTTCTCAGACAAGCTCTTTTGAAGAGTCTCACGGCGTTATGCTTTGGCCGCAGAAAGAGCCTGGTCCACTTCTTCGCCCAAATCATCGTGTTGAAGAATCGAAAGCATCTCTAATTTCATTTCCAAAATGATGATACATTCCCTGCAGTTCTCATTCCAGAATACATTCCCATGACTTCTGATATCCGTTAAGCTTTCAGTCAGGAAGGGTCTGAAACATTCAAAGGGGACCCACCCTAAGCTAACGATATCAATCGTAAACTATATTTTCATCTCTAGCTGCCTGATGCACTCTCTCAAAGTTCTCGAGTATGGGGGAGGAGCAGTCGGATAGATCAGACATGTATACTCATTACGAGTAGATTGAGGAATAGCCTTGGAAGGAAAGTCTTCATGTGTACCCTGATCCTGGATGAGAGGAGAAGCGGATTCTAAACCCCCAATGGGCAACGTCTCTTCGGCTCCCACACCCTCAGGAATGGAAGGAATTGATCGAATCGCTTCGTCCTCTCTATCAGTTAAGAGCGCGACAGGTGCAGACTTCATAGCGTCCCCCATCAACTTGGCCTTCTTGGAGTTCTTGGCTGCAATAGGCTATTGCTTGTGAATTCTTCTATCATATTCACATTCTTCTTCAGCAGTAATGGCCTTCTTCCCTGATGATCTTAAGGAGTGAGGCTCAAGAGCGGGTGCTTCTTCGGGAATTTCTTCAGATGCCTTTTCCTCGGAAGGATCAGCAGCTGGTAACTCCTTTGGGATCTCTCCAACTTCGACCACTTCTCCTTCACAGGATAGATACTCCTCTAATCCTGGTAAACGAGTCTTGGCAGAGCCGCTTCCCGATTTAAATAGTTCTCGAATATTGCTTATGCATGAAGTGTATACATCATATTCTGGGATTCGAGAAGCCTTATCAAACCAATCGCGGAAGTCCGTAATGGTTGAGCAACTAGGCGATGAGTTGGGTAATGTGAAATGCGCATGAGTCTCTCCGGCAGAGAAGAAGTACAACGCGTGAGCCTCCTCGTACAAATTCCTAACTTGAGCCAATGCCGTGTTAGGATTGCCAACATGAAGCTGATCATATCCAAATTGCCTAGTTCATCGAGAAGGCATGTAAGGTTCAATTATGCTCTTCTCCCTCAAGCGAAAGACCAGATAACCCAATCTGATCATGAGAAGCCATCTGAACACGCCTTCTTCCAGAGATGATGAGCAGTCAAAAAGCACATCCGTAAAGCTCGTGCCTCCTCATCAACTCCATCAAAGTTAAGAGCGCAGCAGAAAATTCTGTAATTGTCTTCTTGAGACAAAAGCTGTCGAGCCCTGACTATGTAAATGTTAGTCCACGTAGCCGACTCTAATCTCTGTACAAAGGGAACATGAACTTCATTTTCTTCGTTACCCCCGTCATCAACGAGGGGTAATGCAGCACAAACCAGGCCACCAAATACGTATACGACACTGGTACACGTGGTAGCGGAGTCTTCCAGGCCTTCCTCCCAGCAACATTAATTTCCTAGACGTTAACAAATTCAGAAGTCAACGTCTGTAGGCTACTCTGCACGCAGCTTACCATAACAGTGAGGAGGCTCATGGGCCTCCCATGAGCTAATAAGATAGCTGGGTATACGACTTCAGCTAATATCACCTTGATTGGCTTCGATGGTACTACACATGCTTCAACCAGATCATGAAGAAGCCAGCGAGGAGAGCCACGTCGGAAATAGGAGTTGTGGCCTGGTAGTAAAAACTTTTAAATTTGACACCAGCCTCGAAACCATCTTCCGTGTGCTCGTTCTGATAGGTAGCATTTGAAGCCTTAATCCAGGCTTTAACTCCTTTAGGAGAAATGGCAGCAAGATGGGTTATGGCTTTATCTTTCTAACCTAAGTTCTGAAAGAGATAGTCCGCCTACATAGTATGCATAATACCCCCTCCATGCATCCCAACAACTTGAGCACAGATTTGGAAATGACACATCAGCTCCTAAAAAGTTGCATAAACTTCTGGGTGTGTCGCCCTCAAAATAGAGAGCTCTTCAGTAGTGCGGATGAATTCTTCATAGGGTATCCGTCCGAATGGCAACCCCGATATTGCTTGCATCTCATAGAGAGCGAAGCCTAACTCCCCCACAGGTATAAAGAATGTGTAGCTATCCGGGTTGTACCTCTCCAACATAGCGAAAAAGTTGGGATAACTCTGAACAGCTCCTCGCCTTGTGGCCAACACTAGGACCATCAGACGCGATTGAGTGAGCGGTTCCTTAAGCTCCTTAAAGACAAAATCCACGATCTAGGTCCACCATCCCCCTTCTCCAGAACAAACCCATCCTGGGGATCTGAACATCTGTACAAATTGGTGAATAAAGATGTTTGCTATAAGTGACACTTCTTGAGCAAGATCTTTTTTCTCGAATCGGTCGGGTCACAAACCCTTGAGTTGTCCTCTAATTTGTGTGCGAGCTTGTCGACCAAATCCAAATGACACATTTTTCTTCTCGCTGACTAGATCAAAAGTCAAACCTCGGCGGCAACTGACGTTCAAGAAGTAGGAGAGGGGATACATCCTCTTCATATTTGGGAGAAAGAGGAAGCAATCATCGACTCTCCGTAGCAGCTTTGAATCTTCTGCATGTATGAGACGGTCATCGGCTGCTATATGATTTTTGAATATGAACGCTGGTTTAGGGAACTAATCACGGCCAACAGGAGTCTCCAGGTCTAAATTAGTAATCAAAGTTCTAAGAGTAGAGCATCAGGGGAATCTGATCATGCGCGTTCTCTCTGAGTCAGGGAAAGTGCACAACGAAATTCTGCTGCGAAGGCTAAAAACTTCATTCGTGTCAGGGCCGCCAATATACCCAAAATGATGCTCTTGCAAAAGCAGCACGTTGGGAAAGAATGCTACAAAATCAGAAGCAAAGATTAGCAGCTGAAACAAGTTGCTGACATAAATTTAAAAGAACAGACTAAAAACACAGAGGTCAGGCCCCGTGTGTTAAGGCTTGAACACAAAGGCCAACATTGTGTTGTAAATCTCAAACGCAGAGGTCACGAACATACGTTAGAAAATTTTAACGCAAAGGCCAAAACCCATATTTCAAGTTCAAACGCAACACTGCGTTTCATGATGAACATAGAGTCCCAGCTCCGCGTTTTCATCGAATAGAAATGAGTCATCTTTCTCGTTGTCAAGAATCCATCTAGGGTTTTCAGAAAACTTGTCAAAATAAGTTATTAAGGTCACCACCTACCACGGCAGGAAGGCCCACACGATGGCGACGACAAAGACGACGTGCCCGTAGGAACAAGAATACCGCCGACGTCCCCAGCCGATAGCGTTTCTGAAGTTGCTCTAGCAACCTTCTTAGAGCTAGAGCTTATCTATCGTGGTGCCATTGATGCAGTCGATCGAAGAAGATGAAGTTCGCTGGAGACCCTGTCGAAATTTAACGAGAACTTTCGTTCTTGGAATTAAGCCAAAAATAGAAAGAGTCGAATGACTCTTGACGTGACCACACAGGTCTATTTATAACAGCCGTCAAGCTATTAAAGCGGTATGAGATTCTAGGAGAGAATCTAAATCATTTTTTGAAATGCAATCTTCAGTGTTTATAGATAAAGTCAGTTAAGACTTTAACCTTAACACGAAGTTCACCTCCGCGTCCAAATTCCCAATTGCTAGGCTCAGACCGGTGTTATGAGAGTTCTTAACTTCGTGTTTCGAACCTCAAACGCAAAGGTCACCCTTACGTTGCAATTCTTCTGAACGAAGGGTCCACCCCTTACGTTTTCAAACATGATATTTATACCCTGAGTTCATGAATCCTTTTAACAGAGCGTTGATCAAAACCTCTGAATCTTGTCAACAAGATCTAAGTCATTTAAGTTGACAAAATTCTCATCAGATTAACATTACAGTTCTGATGATCATCACCCTACAGAGTCTGGATTCAGCATGCATCACTTCCAATGGGATGACAATTCCTCTGTCAAAATCAACTTATCGATTCTCATCAACAGAATGATAAGTCCTCAAAATCATTTAAATCATGGTCAATTTATCGACTCTTCCTAACAGAGTAGTAAACAATCAATCTATCAACTCCCTTCAATGGAGTGATAACATTCTTAAAATCTTGTTCAAATCACAAGTATCACAATTCATCACTCCGATGATAAGTTATTTAGAAATTCTCCCCAGCGAGATGCTAAGTCCCCCAAATTGTGTTCCAATCACATAAACATATTTTGCCTGTCATGTTAAAATCACACCTCTGACAAAAATCCACTTATCAACTCTCCTCAATAAAGCGATAAGTCCTCAAAATTGCCCCGATCGCAATATTTTTTTCTATCACGTTAAAATCACACATCTGACAAAATCCACTTATCGACTCTTCCCAATAGAGTGATAAGTCCACAAAATTGCCCCGATCGCAATATTTTGCTTGTCACGTTAATACTTTACCTCTAACAATCCAATATGCTTATCAATCCTTTTCAATAGGATGATATGTCTACAAATAGCTGTTACATTAACATCTTACCTCTAACAGTTTAAACCCCTTCTTTGAACCTTTTTATTCCTTTGCATAAGAATAGCGAGTGCTCTCATAAAATCCCCAGCGGATTAAACTCTTTCCAAAATTATCCCTAGCGGTAACAAGGAATTTTTTTTGAACTTCACTCTATGTGATAATTCACGCCAAGTTAATACTACACCTCTGGCACTTATAGATTTCTTTCAGTATTTAAAGCAAAAGTATAACACAGGAAGAATTTTACTAGTCAGTCCTATTCTAGGGGAGTGACAAGTATTTATCCCTAGCAGATGGAAATTTTCTGGAATTATCTTAAATGATAATAAAGAGAATTTTCTAAATCGGGCTTACTGTGGAAATCTATGTTAAGTTAAAATCACATCTCTGGTATTTTTTGTAATTT